CTCGACCGTCTTCGTCGCCTCTGCAGCCGGTTGTTGTCGACTCTGGTGCTGCTGGGGGTGGTGCTGCTAGGGGTGCTGAGTCTGGGGGTGCTGAGCCTGAGTGTGCGGAGCCTGGGGGTGCTGAGCCTGAGGGTGCGGAGCCTGGGGGTGCTGAGCCTGCGGGTGCTGAGCCTGGGGGTGCTGAGCCTAGGGTGCCGAGCCTGAGGGTACTGAGTTTGGGGGTGCGGAGCCTCGGGGTGCTGAGCCTAGGGGTGCTGCGTCTGCTGGAGGTCCTACGGGTGCCTCGCCGCAGCGGTCTAGCCGGCGGGAGCCTCTCTCACCACAGCAGCTGCGCGAGTGGTTTGCTCTGCAGTGGCGCTGCTGGAGCTGGAAGCACTGCCGCTGGAGGCGCTGGCGCTGGAGGCGCTGGAGCTGGAGGCACTGACGCTGGAGGCACTGGAGCTGGAGGCACTGGAGCTGGGGGCCCTGGAGCTGGAGGCGCTAACACTGGAGGCCTTGGAGCTGGAGGCGATGGAGCTGGAGGCGCTGGAGGTACTAGAGGTGGAGGTACTGGAGGTAATGGTACTGGAGGTACTGGAGCTAGAGGTACTAGAGCTGCTGGTGCTGGAGGTGCTGGAGCTAGAGGAGCTGCTCGTGCTGGAGGTGCTAAAGGTTCTGGCTGTACTGGAGCTGCCGGCTCTGGTACTGTGGGTGCTGCACTGCAGCGACCGTTTTTCTTACCGCCGCCGTAGTCGTCCCTGCTGCCACCTGACTCGGTGCTTTGTCACGTTCTTAGTCTTCCGTCTTCCACTGGCCTTACTCCTCCCTTACTGTGTCCACCGCCTGACCCGTCTCAGCCACAGTTACCGCCGGACTCCTTACTGCCTGCTCCTTCTCCTTGCACCGAGCAGCCAGACTCTCTGACAAAGCGTCATGAGCCTGCGTCTCGTCCTGCCTCCCTTGTTCGCACTGTTCGGCGTGCTCGTCATCTTCCCCGTCCTCGTCCTCCACCTGTCCCCGGCACGCACACTATGGCACTTCGTCCTTCCTCTGTTCCACAACGTATTGCTCTGTCGTCTCCTCCAGCGTCTTCTCTTCCTACCGATCCTAACCTGCGTCTGACTTGGTTCGTGCTGCCAGCCCTACTGTCATACGTCTCCTAGCCACTGTTGTCACTGACCCTTATTTAGAGTCCATTGCTGCGTCTGCCTTAGTTGCTGAGCTTGTTGACTTTGCTGCTGCGTGTCGTCTAGACTACGCCGCTAGTCTTGTTGCTGAGTATGAGTCTGTCTGTCCTCCGTCCGTCGGGGGTGAGTGTGCTCTTGGCACGGACGTCCTTGAGGACAGGCAGGAGGACTTTGAGTGTCTTGCAGCTGCTGTACCTCATTTCATGGCCATGCTGCTTGCACATGAGGGAGACCCGGATGCACTGGACATCCCGACCCCGCGCTCTTACGCAGAGGCGATTACGGATCCATACTCCTCTCAGTGGTAGAGATGCACACAGCAGAGATGGCATCATGGAAGTCCACAGGCACCTACGTCAACGCAGTTCCCCCTCCTAGGACGAACATAGTCGATGGCATGTGGATTTTCAGGGTGAAGCGGCCGTCGGGTTCTCCGCCTGTCTTCAAGGCTCGTTACGTTGCACGAGGTTTTAATCAGCGACAGGGAGTTGACTTCTTCCATACCTTCTCCCCTACCCCGAAGATGACCACTCTTCGGGTGTTGCTGCACGTTGCCGCTCAGCGTGACTACGAGCTTCACTCTCTTGACTTTAGCACAGCTTTCTTACAAGGCAGCCTGCACGAGGAGATCTGGTTGCGCCGTCCTCCTGGCTTCACTGGGTCGTTTCCTGAGGGTACCCAGTAGAGCCTCCGGCGGCCCCTCTACGGTCTCCGCCAGGCACCTCGTGAGTGGCACGACACACTGAGGACGACACTTGCAGCTCTTGGGTTTGCTCCTTCGACTGCTGACCCGTCATTGTTTCTGCGCACCGACACTTCACTGCCGCCGTTCTACATCCTCGTATACGTCGACGACTTGGTTTTTGCCACTGCTGATACTGAGGCACTGGCCTTTGTGAAGTCGGAGCTGCAGAAGAGACACACCTGCACTGACTTGGGTGAGCTGCGCAGCTATCTTGGCTTGCAAATCACCCGGGACAGAGCACGGCGCACCATCACCCTGACTCAGTCACACATGGTGCAGCAGGTCCTTCAGCGATTCGGCTTCCTGTTCTCCTCGCCACAGTCCACTCCTCTGCCTACCGGTCACTCGCTCTCAGCTCCACCTTCGGACGAGTCCGTAGAGCCGAGTGACCCGTATCCAAAGCTTGTGAGCTGCCTCATGTACTTGATGACCTGCACTCGACCTGACCTTGCATACCCTCTTAGCATCCTGGCATGCTACGTTGCGCCCGGGAGACACCGACCAGAGCACTTGGAGGTCGCGAAGAGGGTGTTGCGCTACATGTGCAGTACATCGGGCATGGGGCTTGTGCTTGGAGGACAGGGTCCAATTGTCCTCACTGAACACTCAGACGCGTCTTGGGTTGACGACCTGGCTACGCAGCGGTCGTCACAGGGTTACACTTTCAGCCTTGGCTCCGGCTCTGTTTCTTGGCAGTCTACCCGCTCGTCTTCTGTTCTTAGCTCCAGTTGTGAGGCTGAGATCTACGCAGGAGCCATGGCTGCACAGGAGTTATGCTGGCTCACCTACCTGCTGACCGACTTAGGAGAGCGGCCTCGTTCTCCTCCAGTTCTATACGTAGACAACAAGGCCATGATTGCCTTGTGTCAGGAGCACAGACTGGAGCACAGAACGAAGCATATCGCTCTGCGTTACTTCCTTGCTCGAGAGTTGCAGCAGTGTGGTCAGCTTCGTCTTGCTTACGTGGCCACACGGGCCAACACTGCTGATATATTCACCAAGGCTCTTCAGTCTGGTGATCATCATCGTTTCTGTACTGCTTTAGGCCTTGTGCCTGCTTTGTCTCACTTGCTCACTGCTTGATTTTGGCTTGTACTGTGATTTACACATATATATATACCTGCATGTTTACACTTGCTAGGTTGTGATGGTTACTCTACTATTTGTTCTCTTTCATATATGTGAACTGGCCTTGTGGCCATTTGCTTGTGCTCGGACTGTGTGGTGACTTCGTGATCCACCCTCAGTTTTCTTTGCTTTTCTTGACTGGTCTTGTGACCACTTGCTTTACCCCACTTTGCCTATGGGGGTGTGTCAAAACAATATAATGTTTATGTTGTGTAGGCCCATAAGGGGTACAACCCAATTAGGGTTAGCTGTTGTACTCAGTTTGACCTCTATGCTTTAATTCCCGTTCAGTATTCTGACATGCTATGCTACACTCTACCGGTAGGTGCTTCATTCTATAGGGTGCATCACTGGATTCTTGAATGGTAGTTTTTTTTTTTGTGGCTTAGAGTCCATCAGGGTTAGCGTAAATAGTGCAATACTCAACGGGGTGCTTTGAAGAATACCACCAGGGGTCGATGTTTTTTAACCGAGAGGTGGACAAAACAACAGTTACACTAGGAGTTTGAATTGAACCTAAGTCCACGCTACGAGGGTGTTTCGTGTAGTACCTAGCCAGTGAAAGGGTGAACTAGGGGTTATATAACACCACCCTATAGACCTAAGGGCGTGCTACTCAGGGTCCATGTAGCCCCTGGTCTTCTGAGTTAGGGCTGGTCCGACGGACCAGCCCCGAACTATGTCGCACAAGAATCTCACCGACTGATTTGATGGACCAAATCAATTTACTCAATTTTGACAGGTAGAACTGCCTAGACGACATGATATCGAAGGTAGTTAACAGCACAAGTTGGATTTTTTGGGGGTAAGGTCACGCAGTCCTCGAGGGTAGGTACAAGAATGATATGGATTTTAAAACCCGCAGCCTGCATTACAATTCTGAGTCAACGCTAGGTTCGGGTTGGGTTCGGAGTTTGGCAAGGTGAGGTTTGTAAGTTCGCGAAAGTTGCGATCTAGCGAACACAACAAGCGACAACTAGGGGTTGCAACCAGGAAGAAGGCCCACACCAACCTGAGAGGAAGTAAGCAGCCAAAAGCACCTCGACATACCTCCCATGCTGCGTGTACTAGATAGAGTACAAGTAGTACCACCAATAGCGAATAAGACGACCAACTTGGTAAAACACTTGCCATTTATGTCACACACTGGCCACGGACAAAACACAACATCGAGCGACGAGGACGACCTCAATGGGAAACAGCTAGTGCCACCGCGACAGGAGAATTTCTGACGTATCCGTAGTGCAGGTCGTCCAAAATTCGCCTACCCGACACATTAGAATTCTAGACGCCCGCAATTTTCGCATCTAGGCACGCGTTGTTCATCTTCCCGACGCCCGCATTTAGCCTTCCCGACCTCTGCGTGAAGCATTCCCGTCACGTGCCTTATCCCTTCCCGTCATATGCGTGTCCACTACGAGTCGCCCGCATTTCTGACACTGGGAAGCCCGAATCTCACCGTGGTTGGGCCCGCATTTCTACCATCCAGTCACCCGCAATTTCCCCATCCAGTCGCGCACATTTTCCCACGGCTCTCTCTTCCCCCCCCCCCCCCCCCCCCTTCACACTCCCTACTTCCCCTCTTCTCCCTCCCTTTCCCCCTTCTTGCATCCCGTTTCCCCCCTGCTCATTCTCTGGCCCCCTTCAATCATCCAGTTTCGGTACATCTCACGCACTTTCCTCCATCACTCATCCCTTCCTATTTCCGCCCCTCACCTGCTTACCTTCTGTTCATTCCCATATCCCCCTTTGCACATCCCTCCGTCGCACATGCCCACTGCCCTTCGTCGCCCACGCTCACTCCTCCCCGTCGCGCACTCTCTCTCCCCATCCGTCGCGGCCGCTCACTGCCCGTACGTCGCACGCTCTCACTCCCTTCCGGCGCTCACGCTCACCCCCCTCCCGTTCGCCTTTGCTCACTCTCTCCCGTTCCCTTTCTCCCTTCTCCCCCCTTTCTCCCCTCAGGCTAGAGTTAGAGCCAGCGCATGCAACGTACGACAAGGCAGCGGTTTATTTCCAGGTGGAGCGCCATCCCTCACCTCCCCATCCCTCACCTCCCCATCCCTCACCTCCCCATCCCTCACCTCCCCATCCCTCACCTCCCCATGCCTCGCCTCCCCAACCCTCATCTCCCCATCACACGTCTCCCCATGCCTCGCCTCCCCATCCCTAATCTCCTCATCCCTCATCTCCCATCGCCTCGCCTCCCCATCCATCACCTCCCCATCCCTCATCTCCCCATCCCTCACCTCCCCATCCCTCACCTCCTCATCCCTCACCTCCCCATGCCTCACCTCCCCGTCCCTCATCTCCCCATGCCTCCTCTCCCCAAGCCTTATCTCACCATCCCTCATCTCCCTGTCAAAATGAAGAATGGATGATGCATTGATGTTGGTTGGGGTACATATAGCTAACCCTAAGTTTTGTACCCCCTAAGACAAACCTCACTATAGGCTACAACATTTGACACACCCCCATAGCCTAAGTGAGGGGTGTCTAGCAGAACCAAACGAGTACGGTCACAAGACCAGTCCAAGAAACGAAGCTCAGGGTGGATCACAACGTCACCACACAGTCTGAGCACAAACAACAGTGGCCACAAGGCCAGTCCAAGAAGTAACAGAGGTATATAGAAAGCAAAGTAAACAGTACACTCAAGTCTAAGCAACACGAGAACCAGTGTCAACAAGGCCTAACTGCACACAGCACCTCTGGTGGTCACAAGGCGGAAGCGCCTTGGTGAAGATGTCTGCAGTGTTGGCCTCGGACTCCACAAACTCAAAGCGAGCCTGTCCACGCCTCTGCAACTCTCGCAGAAGAAAGTACCTGACGTGAATGTGCTTCACTCTGCTCTCCAGTCGTGGCTCTCGACAAAGGAGAATAGACGCCTTGTTGTCAGTGAACAAGGTCGGTGCAGAGCTCGGCCGCTCACCAAGGTCGGTGAGCAAGAAGGTCAACCAACGCAGCTCCTGTGCCGCCATGGCACCAGCGTAGATCTCAGCCTCAGCTGTAGAGGTCGAGACCGAAGAGGAGCGCGTGGACCGCCAGGAAACAGCTCCAGAACCCAGGCTGAAACAGTACCCCTGAGTAGACCTGTGAGTCTCAGCGTCGTCAGCGTAAGAGGAGTCACAGTGACCAGTAAGTACGACAGACTGCTGCCCTCCAAGAACTAGCCCCACGCCTGACGTCGTCGCTAGGTACTTCGCCACCCTCACAGCTGCTGTCCAGTGAACAGGACGGTGTCTCCCTGGCGCAACAAAGCGCGCAAGAACGCTGAGAGGGAAGGCGAGGTCCGGGCGAGTACAAGTCATCAGGTACATGAGGCAACCCACAAGCTCTGCGTAGGGACCACTAGACTCGAAAGGCTCGTCAGGAAAGGGTCCAGTGAGTCTGTGGTCAACAGCAAGAGGTGTGCGCTGTACTGTGGAGTGCTGAAGCCCGAACCGCTGAAGGACCTGCTGCACCATGTGCGACTGTGAAAGTGTAATGGTGCGAGCAGCTCTGTCCCTGGTGATCTGCAGGCCAAGGTAGTGGCGCAGCTCACCAAGATCAGTGCAGGTGTGTCTCTTCTGCAGTTCGGACTTCACGTGTGCCAAAGCAACCCTGTCAGGGGTGGCGAAAACAAGGTCGTCAACGTAGACCAGAACAAAGAAAGGTGTGGGGCCACGACGAACGAACAGCGACGGGTCAGCAGAAGACGGCTGGAACCCAAGGTCAGACAGGGTAGAACGCAGGGTGTCGTGCCACTCACGAGGAGCCTGACGAAGACCGTAAACCGGTCGCCTCAGCCTCCACTGGGTCCCAGGAGGGAAAGAGCCAGTGAAGGCAGAGGGACGACGCAACCAGACCTCCTCGTGAAGACTGCCCTGAAGGAAAGCAGTAGAGAAGTCGAGAGAGTGTAACTCGTAGTCTCTCTGTGCTGCTACGTGTAGTAACACCCGAAGAGTGGTCATCTTCGGGGTGGGCGCGAAGGTCTGAAAGAAGTCAACTCCCTCGCGCTGACTGAAACCTCTAGCCACGTAGCGTGCCTTGAAGACCGGAGGAGATCCCGGTGGCCGCTTCACCCTGTAGATCCACATGCCGTCGACTACGTTCGCCCCCGGAGGGGGAACCTCATCGACGTAGGTGCCTGTGGATCTGTAGGAGGCCATCTCTGCGTCCATGGCAGCTCTCCACTGAGAGGCCCAAGGCCCTGACACTGCCTCAGCGTAAGTGCGAGGAGTCGGAATGTCAAGGGCGTCGGGGTCACCCTCAGGGGCGAGGAGCATGGCACAGAGATGAGGGGAAGCGGCCGCCAGGAACTCTAGCTCAAACTGCCTGTCCTCTAGGGCGTCACAGCCAAGGGCAGACACACCCCCGACGGCCAGAGGACTGGAAGGAGGAGCAGCCACAAGAGCGGTGGCGAAGTCAAGGCGGCGGGTAGAGGCAAACTCAGTGACTGCGGCAGTAAGAGCGGACACAGAGGACACAGAGGCACGAGGGTGAGTAACAAGCGAGGCGAGAACACGAGAGAGAAGAGGACGGTACGTGCGGTAGTAGTCAGTGACAGGAGTAGGGAGCGACGCAGTGAGAGCCGACTCAGGAGGAGACGGAAGCACAGACGGAGACGGACGAGGTGGACTAGAACGAAGTAAGGCAGTACGAAGGTCAGTGAAGGGAACAGGAGACGAGGGACGAGCACGAGGGGAGCGACGAGAGGCCCAAGTCTGAGAAGGAGGAGGGGACAACGAAGACTGAGAACGAGGGAAAACAGCGGGAGAGGGGTCAGGAGGAGGAAGCGGAGGACCAGAGACGGGAGGAGAGGGGGAGGAGGAAGGAGAGGGAGAGGGGAGACCAAGGGTCCGAAGGCCCGAGACAGGAGGAGGAGACGGCAGCTGCTGCTGCTGCGGCTGCTGCTGCTCCAGCGGCTGCTGCCCCTGCTGCTGTCGCTCCTGCTCCTCGAGCCGCTGCAACTCTCTCTCCTCTCTCTCCAACTCCAGCTGCTCCTCACGAGCACGGCGAACACGAGCCTGGAACCTGGTCGGGTAGGGGTGGGGGGAAGGAGTAGTGTCCGGGGCAGCGGCAGCCCCAGAGTCGACCTCCGAAGCACCAAGCACACCACCCCCAGAGGCAGCACCAACACCAGCTCCAGACCCAGGCTCTCCAGAAACCGAAGGAACACCCTCACCCCCAGACGCAGCACCCCCAGACTCCGCACCAGCACCCCCAGACTCCGCACGACCAGTACCAGCCCCCGGAAGACAAGAGTCCTCTGCAACCCGCGGCTCAGCTCCAACTCCAGCACCCCCAGAACCAGAGACCTGTACAGGGACAGTCGCAGGACCAACCTCCCGAGAGGGAGCACCTGCAGGAGGCGGCGAGGAAGACTGTGGGGAGGGAGGCTGTACAGGGGGGGCTACCGAAGGGGGAGGGCTAGCCTGAGACACACCAGACGGGGCTGGACCAGGGGGGGGAGGCTGTACCGGGGGAGCAGGCGGGGGAGCGGCTGTCAGGAAGAGGGGGGGAGGAGGAACCGGGAGACCTCGACTGGGGTACCTGACGTAGTACGGGGTGGACTCCTCGAAACGGACGTCACGGGAGTCAAAGAACCGGTGAGAGGGAGGGTGGTAAAAGGTGAAGTCAGAGGAGTCCTCAGGGAAACCAAGGAAGACACAAGGAACGGCGCGAGGCGAGAGCTTGTCCGCGGAGGTGTCGCGGACAAGAGCCAAGCACCCCCAGACACGAAACCTCGACGCGACACCAGGGGACCCTGTCCAAAGACTGGTCGGTGAAGCCTCCGGCCGAGAGACGCGTGGCCAGAGGTTCAGCTGGTGCGCGGCGTACCTGACCGCGTATGGCCACAGGAAATGGGGGGCACGGGCGTGAGTCAAGGAGGTGCGGGCAATCTCCATGACCAGGCCTATGCGACGCTCAGCAACCCCATTCTGCTGTGGGGACTCCGGAAGCGTCCAGGACTGACGAATGCCCTGTTCGCGACAGAATCCAGCGAGAATGCCGGAGCGAAACTCGCCCCCGCGGTCGGAGTGGAGACAGCTGACACGACGACCACGAGTGTCCTGGGTGGTAAGCAACCACCTGATCAGCGTAGAAGTCACCTCAGACTTCCTCGCCAGGGGGAACACTGTGGTGTAGCGGGAGTAGTCGTCAACGACCACCAAAAAGAAACGCTCACGCTCAGGGCCAGGGCGAGGAGAGGGGCCCCAGACGTCCAAGTGCAGCGTCTCAAAAGGCTCGGTGGCCGGACGAAGGGAGGAGGAGTGAGGGGTGGCACGCAGCCTACCCTCGACGCAAGGACCGCACGGTGGTGCAAGGGACGGCGGCAGCGACGGCAAGACACGCGGGAGACCTAAGACCAGACGCTGACTAGACATAGCACGCAGACGTGGAAGAGAAGGGTGTCCCATCCGGTGGTGCCACAGAACGGTGGGGTGGGCAAGCGACCGACAGGAGCAAGACGCAGCGACTGGACTGGACACGACAACCTGAGGGGACGGAACCACCTGGTGAGACGCAGGGAGGAGACTAGGGGGAGGGACAGGAACTGGGAGGAGTGGCTGCTGCGACGGCGGCCGCTGTGGCTGCGGCTGCGGCTGCTGCTGCTGCTGCTGCTGCTGCTGCTGCTGCTGCTGCTGCTGCTGCGCTGCTGCTGCTGCTGCAGTCGCTGCTGAGCGCGCGGGCCAGTGTGAAGAGTGTAGAGACCGGAGCCCGGCTCAGCAGCAAAAGTGGCGAGGGGCTGGTAAGAGTCCCCGTCAACACACACCGCAGTCTCTCCAGAAGGCTCAAACCACACACCCACGTGCTGACTCACGAGGGGTCGCACGCCCACCAAGTTCCGGGAGAACGAGGGGACGTGAAACCCAGTGAGAGACCCAGAAGGAGCAGCCGGACACGGCAAGGTGGTAGTGTGACGCGCGGTGACTGGTCCCGAAGTGGGATCAGCCAGCGCCACAGAAACAGGCGCAGGAAGAGGCGTAAGTGTCGTGCTGTCACGAAAGAAGCAGTGAGAGGCTCCAGAGTCCAGCGTGAACGACAGCGAACCGTCCTCTGAGGTAGCCGCTGGACTAGAGTCTACACAAGAACCTACACTAGCAACAGGCAACTGAGCAAGGCTAGCACCTAAGCTAACAACACCAGAGTAAGCAGAGTCAGAAACACTAGAGTCAACAACAGCATACATAGCATGGGGAGTACCAATCAGATCAACTAACTGCTCAGCAGACATGGCCCACAGAGCGGAGCCGTAGCGCTGAACAAGAGGCAGCCAGTCAGGGGCAGGAGCACCAACCCCGTAGACCAAACGAACCGTGTC